TCAGCGGGAACTCAGGCAGCAGGCACGCCCTACTCCCAGCAGGAATAATCTTTAACCTCCAACTTCCCTAAAACTCCTATTGTCACGCCCTAAACCCAAGGACAGGGATACTTCCTGCAAGATACACCCTAATCCTGGATCCACCCTGGTGATTGAGCAGGGTCACCTTTCTCAAACACACAAGCAAGGTCGCAGCAAATTTCCAAGGGAAGTCCATTTAACATGGGGTACGCTGGCAAGGATTTCGATGCGTCATTCCTACTTGGTAATGGCCCTCAGCACTGAAATGCACACCAAGTTTGTTCATGAAGTACTGCTCTTGATGACTAGATATGTTAGTTATCAAAAAAGAGAAATAGTTGAGAGTCCTACCCAAATTGTTCTTAAGTAAAAGTCCTCCGTTTTCCTTCTCCTGTTTTTGCTAATTTTCAGAAGGATAGCAAGAACAACGGCTACGAGGTTGAAGTGAGGAAAACGGCAGAAGCGAGCCAGGCAGTAGTCCCGATCGCCTCACATCTCCAAAAGGAGTTAGCAATTGGAAAAGCAGAATTGGGAGGTGGATGATGAAATAAAAGCTATGAGACTTGATATTACATAGTCTGAGACCTGGAGAGACTGGAAGTAGGGTATCTGAGTAGAAAACAATCACAGACTGCCCTAATTCCCCAAAATGGTGGATGAGAGGGAGGACATCAGAGAAAGTGGGGCAGCAGACATTCTCTCAAGTTCACCCACCTAAAAATGGTGGAAAGGCAGACAACAGTAACAGAAACCTTCTTAAAATAGCTTAAAACCAAGTTGTGTAAAAAAAAAAAAGTTGAGCCAGGGGTCTGCAGCCATCTTGTGGCACCCTCAGCCCATCAGTCACTCCCTTAAAACAGCATGGCCTCTCCCCATGCCCAGACAGCTATAAATTAAACCAGAGGGAAGTCCTCTGCAGGAGGAACCTCTTAAAATCTGGCCACAAGGAACTTCTAGAAGGACCACTACTGGCCCTAAAATGCGGAAACTTCCCTCTCTGCCCCCACCACAAACAAGGGGAATGGAGAAGGCAGAGGGGACCTCTTCCTGGAAAGTGCACATCTAGCCCTGCTCACCCTTTGTGACTCAGGCAAGGGTGTCCTCTGGCTTGCTCTACAGAGCGAGGCAACAAAGGAGCTCTGGCCCTGAACAAAGGCAAGGCAGATTCACCAGACCCCCAACCACTGACTCTGGGAAGAGGCACCTTAGGAAGACCAGGGACAGACCTGAGGATCCAGATGGCAGGACTGAGATCACAGAGCACAAGAAAAAAGGTATAATATAGACTTTCTATAAAGACACATTTTAGATTTGAAGACACAGTAGACTCCAAATGAAAGGATAAGAAGAGGTTGACCTTGTAAGCAGTATCAAAAAGATCATTGGAATGACTATGCAGACAAAACACATTTTAAGACAAAGACAAGAAAACACATTTTATAATGATAAAAGGGTCAACCAATCAGGTTGATGCAACAAATATAAATAAATATTCATTTCACAACAGAGAACCAGAACACACAAAGTGAAAACCAACAGACTTGAAGGGAGAAATAACAATGAAGAGTTGATGATTACAACACTCATTTTTAATAACAGACAAAAGTCAGAAGACCAACAAAAAAACTGAGACATCAACAACACTATGAAGAAACTAGATGTGATGAACTCTATTGAACATGCCACAAGAATAGAATAACATGATTCTTAAGCACAGGGAATGTTTTCCAGTACAGACCTTATGTTAGGGCACAAAATCACCCTCACTAGACATAAAAGCCTCAAAATTACACAAAGCATGTTCTTTGAGCTTAATGATATTAGAAACCAATAATAGAAAATTTGGGAAAATAAGTTTGTGAGAATTAAATTTACAGTCTCCTAAATAATCAATGCATCAAAGAAGAGATCACATGAGAGATTAGAAAAATTTTTGGAATGGATAAAAATGGAAATATAAAAAACGAAAACTTACGAGATGCAGCAAATGGGTGCCTAGAGGGAAAATTTGGACCTATAAATGGCTTTATTAAAAAGAAAAGGTTTGGGGCTGGGGTTGTGGCTCAGTGTTAGTGTACTTGTCTAGCATTTGTGAGGCATTGGGTTCGAACCTCAGCCCCACATTAAAAAATAAATAAATAAACAAAATAAAGGTATTGTGTCCATTTACAACTCAAAAAGAAATCTTAAAAGAAAAGGTTCAAACCTGCAGCTTAACCTTTCATTTTATAAACTAGAATTTTCAGGGCAAAGACTTTCTCATGGTGATCTGAAATCTGTCTTTTGTTACATGTACAAATGGTTCTTTTTACAACTCTTAGAACCTCAGTCAGAGAAATGGCATCTTAAAGCCCAAATCTAATGTTCAGACATGTGTTTGCCTAGTTGTATTTCAGACAAAGATTTTAATCATCAAACAAACAATAAACCAAAAGAACTCTTAATAGATTAGGAATCTGTCATTATTGAAGTTGAATTTCCAAACTGCAAAAGTCAGAGCTGAGTAGTGTCTAATAAATGGGACTCCTTCAACCTAGTGAGACTTAGTCCACTAGTTAGGACTCCTTTAACATAGTCCACTACTCCCTACTCCTCACACAGTTCATATGGGGTCTTGAAGATATGCATAGAAGTAGGGGACATATCTATTGCCACCAATTTCAAAGGTTTTAATTTGGACAAAAAGCTCTTGACTAGAGGTTGCAAACATAGGTGCTTCCAAGACACCAGGCGTGGCCCATAGATGAACATAAGCCCGTGTAAGTTATAGGAAGTGGTAGGGACTATGGTTCATTAGGCACAAGTGCCACATTTAAAGGGGAAAAGAGAAATCAGGCATTATGGTACATGCTTACAGTCCCAGTTGCTTGGGAGGATGAAGTTCATGAGCCCATGAGTTCAAGACCAGCTTGACCAATATAGCAAGACCTTATGTCAAAAATAAACAGATAAATAAGTGGGGGAAGATAACTGCACTGATTAATGTACTATTGCTTTGATATGAAAATAATGGAACTAACGAGGGACATCACCTGCCAGGTTGCATTTGTGACTAAAACACTCAGGGGTCACTCCAGGGGAATTGGGCTAACTAGGCTGCATGAAATAATCACACAAGAGACAGAAATACCTTTTTTCTTTGGGCTTGCTGTGACAGCTCCTCTGACCTTAAGGGTCTGCAGAAAGAGACAGAGGGAGAGAGCCCGAAGGTGCTGACTCATTTTATTGAGGAGAAGCTATTCAAATGAGGTAAGGGGTCAGGTTTCAGGGGGCTGAATCTAGCTTCATGATGTCTGCTATCAGCAGGTTGACTGACATCGAGTTAGGCCACACCCAAGGACACAGTAAGGTAAGGGAACCCACAAAAGGTATTTCCATGGAATATTTTATCTCAAACAGGGCAAGGGGTAATATTACAAAGGAACAGGTGAGCATAGCTCCACCCATTGCACAAAGACACTGTCCCTCCAACCCAAGAAGGGCGGGGCAGTCTAGCAGCCACCTGACTCCTTATCACCCAGCCGGGGAGTGGTTCAGTCACGTGCAAGGTTGGTCTCCCACAATCACCTGTCAATTATTTGAGCTTATTTGATCATCTTCACTTGGCCTTGAGCCAGGAAGATTTAGATTTGGCATTGCAAACTATTTTGTGGCCCCTGCCACTCAATGGATTGTGCAATTCATGTGACCGTAGCTCCATAGTGGGGCACAACCCATTAGAAACTGTACAGCCCACCTCCTACCTTATTTGGCAAAAGAATATTCCATGAAAAACTTTTGATGCTTCCCGCATATAAATAAAGCAAACACGAGCTCTCGCTCTCTCTCTTTCAGTGTGAAAGCTTGATCCCTAATATGGGAGAGCTGTCCTGTCCCCCACTTTCTAAAATTATTTCCTGTGTCCTATGGTTTCTTCACTGTTTTCTCTTTCTTAGCTTTATTTTGCAGCCAGCCTGTTACATGCAGAGGAAACCCCAATTCAACCACCTGCAAGGTACTGGGTGAGAAACTAAGCCAGTTCTTATCACTAGAAGTAACCAGGGGACTTTTTATAACTAAAAAAAAAAAAAAATTGAAAAAGTCATTCAAGCAGGAAGAAAGAATTGGTCCCACAGCCTGGCTTCAAAGAAGTAGTGAAGAGAAACTGAGTCAAGTTATTGCTAATTGTACCCCATGAGTATTCCACCTTTTAGTTACCAGATTTGTGTGACTGTATCTTCAGATATATCACATGATACAATCTTGACCTCATTAAAGGCTTTGTTCTATCTTTTATAAACTTTCAAATATTCCTCAAGAAAAAGGTCTTACTCATGAGGTATGATGGGCCAGGGTTCTGACATTAAGAAAGTCCTTTTCTGATGAGCTACCTTCTGTTTGGCATCTGGTTAAATATAGAATAATGGACTATAGAAAAGAAGAACATACTTTGTGTGTGTGTGTGTGTGTGTGTGTGTGTGGTGCTGGGGATTGAACCCAAGGCATTGTGCATGCAAGACAAGCACTCTACCAACTGAGCTGTATCCCCAGCACCACCCCCATCTTTTAAAAAAGTTATTTCTCTTTTCTTGCTGGTGCTAGATGTAGAACCCAGGACCTCATGGATGCTAGGCAAGAGCTCTCCCACTGAGCCACAGTGTCCTTGGCCCAAGAAAATATGTTTCTATTTAGTATTCCTACTATGTATATAAAAAAGAAATAAAACTCCCCATGAAGTTTTATAGTAAAATTAAATTGAAAGTAATTTCACTCATAACAAAATAATGTATGAGGCATGAAATGATCAATTCTCACAAAGGAGAGAGGTGAGGATGTTGTCCCCTGTGTGTCCACCACATGGTGGTCACTGGTCTTATGCACTGCTTTTGCCACAGCTGTATTCCTAAAGCTGAGATTTGGTCCTCTGATCAGTGTAAGGCAAAGTACATAGTTTACTTTCCTTATAACAAACTAAAGTATGCCCCATCTTTCACGTACCACATCATTCAGAAAAATGCTAGGTGTGTACAACCGGAGAAATGAAAAGTTGTGCTGCAATTGTGTACAATGAATCAAAATGCATTCTGCTGTCATATATACCTAATTAGAATAAATAATTAATTAATTAAACAATAAAATAAATGCTAGGTATGAAATAAAATTTATGGAATATGAATATTCACTATTTTAAAAAGCCAATTTTTAGCTTTCTTTTGGAGGACTTAGAAGAACTGTGAGAATTCTGCAATGATTTAATCTATCTCACTTTTTAGGGGAAAAAAAAAACAATGTTGCACTTCTCAGGAGCTATAATCTAAGGCTAAGGATATAATGTATTTAAGGAAAACTCCCTTAGATGAAGGAAAAGGAAGATAGGGGGGAAATTTCACCAACCTGCTTAGCATTCTTTCCCTTCTGAGCTTCATTTTCTGTGGACTCACTGACAACTCCAAGACCTTCTTCCTACAATGTGTCATCAGAACTAGAGCACGTGTCACCTTCAGGAAGACCCTAAGCAGACATGACTGGAGGTAATTCTATTATAAGATCATCTTCATCAGCTTCATGTTACTTTAATTCTTATTGGTGAAACAAAGTCTTTGGGTCTCCAGTGCTGTCTTACAATTTCTACCCACAGAGTTTTGCAAGGGTCATAGTGCTGTTGATGGGTCTCAGCCCCTTTGCTTTTTTTTTTTTTTTCTCTTCTCCTGTACTGGAAAATGAACTTAGGGGCACTCGACAACTAAGCCATATCCCTAGCCATATTTTTTATTTAAAGACAGGGTCTCACTGAGTTGCTTAGGAGCTATTTTTTATTTTTTATTTAAAGACAGGGTCTCACTGAGTTGCTTAGCACCTTGCTTTTGCTGATGCTGGCTTTGATCTGCAATCCTCCTGCCTTTGCCTCCCAAGCCACTGGGAGTATAGGCGTGCCCCATCACTCCTGGCTTCCCTTTGCTTTTTTCTTTTAATAAATCTATTTATTTATTTTACTTAGGTATATATAAATGCATTTTGATTCATTGTTACATAAAGGCAACACAACTTTTCATTTCTCTGATTGTACACAATGTAGTATTGCACCATATGTGCAGTTATAAATGTACTTAGGGTAATAATGTCTACTGCATTCCACCATCTTTCCTGTCTCCATGCCCCTTCCCTTCCCCTTCCTCCCCTTTTCCCAACCAAAGTTCCTCTGTTTTTCCTATGCCTCCTACCCCTAACCATTATGGATCAGCATCCATTTATCAGAGAGAACTTCAGCCTTTGGTTTTTTAGGATTGGCTTACTTCGCATAGCATGATATTCTCTAATCCATTTACCCTCAAGTGCCATAATTTTATTCTCTTCTAATGCTGAATAATATTCCATTGTGTATATCTACCACTATTTCTTTATCCATTCATCTATTGAAGGGCATCTAGGTTGGTTCCACAGTTTAGCTATTGTGAATTGAGTTGCTATAAACATTGATGTGGCTGTGTTACTATAGTATGCTGTTTTTAAGTCCTTTGGGTATAGACCAAGGAGTGGGGTAGCTAGCTCAAATGGTGGTTCCATTCCAAGTTTTCTAAGGAATCTTTATACTGCTTTCCAGATTGGTTGCACCAATTTGCAGTGCCATCAGCAATGTATGAGTGTGCCTTTTCCCCCACATCCTTGCCAATTCGCAATTTCTTGATAACTGCCATTCTGACTGAAGTAAGATGAAATCTTACAGTAGTTTTGATTTGCATTTCTCTAATTGCTAAAGATGTTGAACATTTTTTCATATATTTGTTGACCAGTTGTATATCTTTTTCTGAGAAGTGTCTGTTCAGCTCCTTAGCCCATTTATTGTTTTTTTTTTTTTTTTGGGGTGTGTGTGTGTGTGTGTGTGTGTGAAGTTTTTTTTTTTTTTTTTTGAGTTCTCTATATATCCTAGAGATTACTGCTCTGACGTGTGTATAGCAAAAATTTACTCCCAAAATGTAGGCTCTTTACTTCATTGATTGTTTCTTTTGCTGAGAAGCTTTTTAGTTTGAATCCACCCCACTCATTGATTTTATTTCTTGTGCTTTAGGAGTCTTGTGAAGGAAGCTGGGCCCTAATCTAACTTGATGAAGATTTCCCCCCTTTGTTTTTGTTGCCCCAGGTAGCTTGGCAGAATAATTGAGCCAAGAGTCACCATCAAGATCATGTGCTGGATATTTGGAGGCTATCACCTACTTTCTAGGTGGACTGTCTCCATTATTGTATGGTTCTGCCCATTTTTCCTTTGGCAACAGGTTGTCTTCAGGAAAATTTTTCCTCACCTTTGTTACTTGGGGAGGCCAGAAGACTCTGAATGTGTTTGATGCTAGTGCACACCTGAACAACTACTTCTCCTTTTCCTCTACCTCAGTCTTGATAGACTCAGTAATTTTTTTTGCATCTTTCCCATTTGTCCATACTTGGAACCCCTCCTTGTCAATAGAAAATGAACTTTATCTTTAAATGAACTTTATCTTTAAAAGTTACTTGAGATGAAATGCAGATCCTAGAATATCCTGGGCAAGTAACTTCCTTCCATGATATCACTTCTTCTAACACAAATCTTAAATGCAAGGGGTAATTTGCTAAGTAAGCAGTTCTGAGAAGGTGAAGGAGAGGTCATTATTACTGTATTAAGTTCTCAAATGTCTAGCTCATTCCCTTACTCAATAAAGGATGCTCATGAATTATTACTATAGTAATTATGTTAGAGGACACATCTAGTTAAATATAATTATTAAACTGTCGAATAACACAGTTTGGGGATATGAAATATTTACCTCATTATTACAAAACAGTGATAATTTGGAATGGTTCAAAAAGATGAAAGCTAAATGGCAGCACCTAAACATCACCTCTGATCATGAGAAACAGCAATTTAAAGTGTTAGTCTTTCCTTCATTTAGTGTGGGTCTCAACATTCTCACTAAGCCCCTGACGTCCACAAAATGCTTCAAACACCAAACACCACTCCCAACAATCACAAAAACCTAAGAATCAACAAAGAGCAAAACTTCAGCACTAGCTGGATTCACACTCCTGAGAAAATCCAGGAGAGGGCCAAAGAAGACACAAGGCTTGAAGGAGCATCTGTCCCCAACACCCTGGCAGCCCTTCCTGAATTGGTATTATGAGAGATCAGATCCTCTTCCCTCTTTACAAGATCACTTTCCTATATCAGTTTTGGGATAATTTAAACACTTTTCTTTCTCCCAAACAAGAGACTGCGGATCTGAGATGTGGTCCAAATATGTTTCTTAAAATTCAGTTTATTTTACATAACACACAAATGCATCCTCCTTGGGCAACAAAGATTCTCCTGGTTGAGAGCCTTTCAAATTACCATTCCTTTTCTATGAAGAAATTAACTCCATTGAAATCCCAAACAATGCACCTGGGAAGGTAACTTTTGCATGGAGAAGGGAGGGGAGGACCAAGGAGGAGAATGAGACTGATCCCAGGATCCAAACATAAATGCTTGGGTTTAACTTCTCTTTAATAAATTGTAATGGGCGGAGACTTCTGGATAAACAGCCAGAGATGCACTTGGATGCTGAAGCCAGATTCTACTAAGACCTGGCGATTCAGAAGAGCTGGTAAGCCGTGCTGTAGTGTACTGTTAGGGTAGCTGGCACTAATATCTATGAGAGATACAGCAGTGAGCCAAGCAAAGGTTTATTGACAGAGACCATCTGCCAGGCTGCCCTTCTGCAAGGCGCAGCAGCCTGCTGGAAAAACTTCTTAACTATATGATCATGGGCAAGGAAGTGATTAAAAAATAACCTATCTAGTCCTGTGATTGTTACTTTGTTGTGGTTTCTATAGTTAGGAACTCTTTGGGGTGCACTTAAGGAGAAGGTCATGCCTGGGTAGGCTTCTTAAGATGGTGATGGCGGGTGCTGATTTTCAAAATGGAGTTACTTTGGCATAAGGACTTAATAGGGACTACAGAAAAAAAAAAAGGTGTGTGGGGGGTTATACTTTATTTCCTAAACTTAAAAACATTTTAAGATTTCCTACTCCACTGGCAGCTGGATTTGGGGGATTAATTTTGAAGCTTAAAGGCACACTTAGAATCTTTGCCCAGGCACAGGTGGCTGGAAACAGCTGGCTATGGAGGGTAATGACTCTATGCTCCTGCCACATTTAGCAGAGGCTGAGCTGCCTGTTCCTCCCCATTCATCAGGGGTGCCCTACTCTCCACCAAGGGTCCCCCTTATCGGTTTCTCAGAGCACAAGACAATAATCCCACATTGGAGACGGTGAAGAGAAAAAGGATAAACCCGGCAAGACCACTCACGTGTACAGGACAACCTGCAAATACCTCACATGACATTTGGAGTTCTTCTGGGGTCCAGTGCTCCCAGCAGTGGATGTGTGCCCCTATTGTAGGGAGACCCAAACCTCAACGTGACCGACCCTTGCTGTTCTTCTTGGACTCTGACCTCCTCCCTGACCTGGATATGAGCTGCAGGGGTCTGGCCCTTGACCCTTGAGTAGAGGCAGGTGTCCTGCGGTTTTTCACTGTTTCCCATTATAAGTGTGTGTGTGTGTGTGGGGGGAGGGTGGTGCCAGGTCCTCCCAGGAGAAGGGAAAGATTCGCCTTTCCTAGCATCCTCTGGACCACTTCTTGCCAACCCAGGCTTTTAGAACTGCATGATCACAGAGAAAGCCCACAGTAAACATCTAGAATAGACAGCCTCCCACCCTCCCCCATCCCCCCATCCCCCCCCTCACTGTTTAGCATAAGGGCATAAGGAACAAAAGAAAAGAAAATAAAGAGCTCACACTTAAGGCTGCTGATCAGGGTGTGTAGTGCTAGGAAAAGTGACTCTTGGGGATTCTGGGAGACCTTGATTCCTACTTCTAAGGCAAGTGCTTCTGTTTCCTCACCCACCCCAGCCAATCTAGAGGAAATGACCCCCAAGTGCCATAGAGGGAAACATGGAGCAGCAAAATACAACTCTAGGAATAGAGGGACAGAACCGAAAATCCTCAGTGAGGGAAGAGGCAGTAAGGGAAGAGACAGATCGGGGCATCAGGGAAGGAAATAAGGGGGCCTTTAGAACCAGGAGAAACCCACAGACTGAGGAGGGACTGCTTTGCTTTGCCCTCTCTGCTGAAGCAGCTCAGAGGTCCAGAAAACCTGTCCAGGAAATGCAGGTATCGGAGTGACCTGGAGGGCCAGCGTGACAAATGCAAGACCTCTCCCCACCAGCCTGGGCTGAGCCACCCTCTCCTGGCTTGCAAAAGAGGGGACAAGAGACCAATAGGGACTCCCTGACATCCTTCCTGTACCCCACCCAGCTCCCTCAGATAGCTTGCTTGCATTTTTACAATGATTCCTGCAAGCTGTGCCAAGGGGTCTGAGGGTGAGAAACCAATTTTTTGAAATATGGTTAACATGTCTCTTTCAACCATTTTAGAGATTTTAGCCTGAATCATGCTATTCTCATTAACTATCTTTCTCTATAGTGCTTTACTGTGGAAATAGAGAACGATTCTATGATTCAAAATGGATCCTTACACCTATTTCCAAACTAAAAAAGTTCTTAGTGCCTCTCCAGGATGGTGGACAGATGGTTAGAGGGAAAAGATGGGAATAGCTGGCAGCCAACCCCTGCCCAAGCCCACCTGACATTCTTCCCACAAGCCCTTTCCCACCTGTGGACTCAACAGGGCTGCTTTGCATCTGGAGCACCTCCAAGTAGCTGCAACCACCTGCCACACTGGGTCTCCACCACAGCTCCGGGTGCCTGAACTGGCAGTATAGACGCTGGCACCCAACCCTGGGCTGTCCAAAGGGCATAGAAAATGGCAAAAGTAACCAGCAGAGGGTAGCATGGGCTGCTGCTGAAAGCCACCCGGCTGCCTCAGACACTGCCAACTGTTAATAGGCAGAGATCAGGCAAAAGCCAGCCCCTGTCCTTCTCCCTCTTTTTCTTCTAGAGTTGGGTCTTAAATAACCTACTTGGGTGGAGCTTCATCTTCTTCTCAACCAATGGTGAGTGAGACTGAGGAGAAAATGGAAACAGAAGGTCTCCACAGTAGAAAGTAGGAGAAGAGGCAGGCGAGGGGAGTGTCTGTTCTGCATGGAGAAGGAGGATCAAAGAGACCTAGTAAGCCAAAGGTAGGGAAGCAACTTCCTGGAGGGTGGGGTTGAAAGAACACCTGAGTTAAGGAACTCCAGTCCTCTGGGCTAGAGGGCTTACATCCTTCCCAACATCTTTTGACTTGTGTTGTAATTTTGAATATTCACTTTCCTGAGTTATGGAGAGAAACTTAGTTGGGAAGCAGATTGTAGCTTTCCCTCTCTTAAGCACAAGACCTCCAGTAAGATATCTAGCTTATCCGAGTTTTCATTTCTTAATTTGTAAAATAAACTCACTTTTCACAGGGTAGTAGAATTCAATGTGATATAATGCACTAAGTGGCCTAGTATAAAGGAGGTGCTCAGTAAGTGGAAGGTATTGCTGTGGTGAGAATTGATGGCAGCAATGAACTTGCCCTATTCCTACTCTTTCTCCACATCCACATATCCACAAGATGCCTGATGCATGCCTTAATATCCTTCTGTTTGCAACCAATTTCTAAAAAAAAAATAAATAAATGAAATAAAATAATACCAACCCTATTCCATTTGTTGTTTTTTGTAAATCCAAATATTCTTGGCATGGATACCCTTAAAAATCATGAGTAAGATTGAATTAATTTTTGAGATGCTTTGCTTTTCTTGCAATGGAGAACAATGATGCTGGATACTTGAGAGGAGGGAGAGAGTAGAGCACTTCAGCTCTAAAAGATTAGTCCATGAATCTTCATCTACAGATTTCTGGAATCCATTCTTTCTTTGTCTCTGAAACAATAATTTATCCCAAAGGATTATGGGCACTTAGAAATGGGAAAAAAATATCTTTTTCTTTTTGTCTTTGAGAGGAGCTTCTTGATTTTGAAACTTTTGAAGTATGCCAATTTTAGTTTCATGTGCTAATGGAAAAACTCTTTGGCCAATGAAAACTGAGCTAAGTGTGTTGTTCCCCTTGATGGTGACGTTAGTGTTGAGGCATAGGCAGCCATGAGTCTCCTAAAAAATCTCAAAATGCTCCCATAAGGTAAATATATCAGAATCTTTATTTAGAAATGAATGCACTCACACTGAATACATTTTGTAAATCACTGTCCAGGACTGTTTTAGTTGATGGTTTTTCCACACCTTAAATTATTTCCTTCAATGTTTCCCTTTAATTTACATAACCGGGATAATTTTTATTGCATACAGCCTTCTCTTAAGACACCGGAAAGTGGAATGTCACCAGTTCCAAATGATGACAGCAACGTGAGACCGAAAGGTCTTTATGTGTGTGTGATAAAAGAATTAAAGTTATCTAGTCATCACTAGGTTCCTCGCTCATGGGAATATCTGACTCATTTAAGAATGTCTCATCTGAGCCTGTGGAAGTCCAATCTGTCATGTTTCTATATTTTGACATTCTTGAGCCTGATCTTCTTGCATCTGAGGATGTGGTAGGCCAATATGTGCTGCTGCCCCCAGAATAAGATGTATCTGATATATCGTCTGATCGTGGTGAATAAGATGTGTTTGTCATCTGTTGGTTGGTGGAGTATTGATTGTACTGACTATTGTAGCTGAAAAAGAATAAAAGCATATTTTCAATAGGGTGACTTTCTACATCAACTTTAAAAAGTATTTTGAATTGCTAAAATATAATTTTTCCAATGTACTAGTTATTTAATAACATTATATAAATGATATAGTTTTTCTTAAATGGTAATTGTGTTATAGCTAATCCTTGTGTGAATGAAAAGCATGATTCAAACCTCAAGACTAGAATTTAAAAACCAATTTACTAAAACAGTAAAGATTACTATAATGAAAGTTTAGCTTTCATTAAATATGTAAATGAGATGGAATTAGGAAGAATAAATGACTCGGATACAAATTTTAATAAAACAGAGAAACACACCATAAAAATATCATTATCAAAATAATTATTAACTTTGAACATTAAGCAATCATTAGGATTTCTACAAAAAATGTGTTATATTTTGTGAAAAATTTAAATAAGCAATCCTCTTATTCAGGTTTGAGTTGAATTTAATACTTCCATAAGAACAAATATAGAATATAGAATATAGAATACAGAAATGAAACAAATTTGCAGTTTTTTTTATTGTCTTGCTTGAATGAAAAATGTAAGACCCTAAGCAAATGTGGTAGTTAGAAGCACAGTATTTTTTTGTTCCAAGGTTTTATCAACATATAAAGCATTGTCAACATACTCTGTTTACTTTCCAATTGACTAAGATTATTTCTACATGTAGATTACTATTTAAAATATTGGAAAAAAAGATCATGGAAGGATACTGCCTGAGATGGCCCCATTCTACTTGGGAATAGAGGAAATGGAGTCACACTGAAAGACTGACAGCTCCATTATTCAGACATTACAATATGCTAACAATTTACCTAGGACAGGAGGGAATGACAGCATGCATCGGTAATAAACACTGCAGAGGTTGGTGGGCTTACCTTAGCTGCTTCAGTTTGTACAAGGTGGCACTACAGAATGCCAAGAGAGTGACAAAAAGGACAAGGGTCATCAACGAGATGCCCAGCATTATTTTGAGCTTGAGATCATCTAGCAGTGATTGTGTGTCTTCCTCTGTAGTGTTCACATCAAAACCTGACAGGAAAGAAAGAAAATGCAAAGGAGAAGAGTGGATTCTTGATGTTCCTGGAGATTGAGGATGGTAGAAGATGCAGAGAAGCCCCACGCCCGCCTCAGTGTCCACTGCTCATTCTCCTACCACAGGCAATGCAGAGAGAGGGCTAGTTCCCACGCCAAGCACTCCTTCCTCTTTACCCTTCACAGCACTCTTGGAGGAGCTGTCCTTAGCTCCATTTTACAGGATCTCAGCAGTTCATGAATTTTCCCCTTGCACACAGCTAGTAAGTGGCAGAGTCTGACTTTAAACCCAGGTTACCAGATGTCAAAATGTGTATGTAGCAGACTTTCTCCCTGACTTTCCTAGAAACCAGTTAAAGTAATTGATCATCTCTGTAGAGGTGACTATTAATATGATCAATGTACACACAAGGCGCCAGTGTTTCAGAAGAGAAGGGTGATGTTCTGTTGTTGCAACATGTACTGGTTGTTCTTTGAAATAAAAGGATGGTGTGTGCAGGCTCTCTCCATGAGGTTTAAGGGCTAAGCTTGCCTTTAATTACTGAGATGACTAAATCTAGTGTACTTGACATTGCATCAAGAAATGCAAACATTTTTTTAACTTTCTAAAATAAATTAAATCAAAAAGTGATGCCTGGATCCAGAGACATGAAGAAAGTTATTAAAACTAGTAATAAAAAATGACTCTTTACTAACAGATCTGACCTTTTCCTGAATATTCATCTGACTTAATAAACTTTATTGAACAATGACTTTAGATGACCAGGTTGTCACTTCTTCCCCTTTTCACAGTTCCTCCCACCTCCATTCCAAATGGTCCAAAGAGCTTCCTTGTACGTAATAGTTATAACAAATTCTCATATCTAAGCTCTCTGATTTTAAAACTTAAAATGGTCAAAGTGTGATCTTCTTCGCTGTGGAAGGAGATATATAGAGCAGTCAATGGTTGTTAGCTGACTCTGAGACCAATTGTTTGGAGAATAATCCAACAAATTTTTAAAATGGAAAATTCTCCTAAGTTGCTTTTCTGCCTTCTTAAAGAGTCATTCTAAAGAGGCTTGTTCATAGTGCATTTATCAAGGTCATGGTCAGAACCAGAGAAGAGTTTGGAATTCCTAATCACTGAAATAGCCAGTTATAGGTATGGGCAGGTTTTTGCTCTAAGTCTTAGTTTCCTTCTCTATAAAATGGAGATAAATCCAACTTCATGGAGTGGCTGTGAGGACTGACATAGTAATGCAGCTAAAGCACCAGAATTGCCTTTGTGTGCTCAGCAAATGACAGAAAATCAATCAAGCCACATTTAATCATTTCAGTTAAAGAAACAATAAAGCGTTTCTAAAGTGACCCAGCATTAGTGATCCCTATGTATAACATTTCTAAACATAAAAGACTCACTCCATTTTCTTGAAGCACCACGAGGTAAACAGTGACAGTCTTCAAATAATTCAGTACAGAATTGAGGTGACAGATCTTGGATATATCACCAGATAATTTCTGTTTCCAACATTTTTTTGTAGGACAGGCATTTTGGGGAAAATTAACACATTGTTTTTTCATAAAAACTGTCTATATGAACTAGCAATTGTTTTAAAAATGCAATTACTCCATTAATAGAAAGTTCACTCAGCAACAGAAACTCACATTCATTACTGGTGAGAATATACCATAGTACAGCCACTTCGGAGAACAGTTTCGTAGTTTCTTAGGAAGTTAAACATAGTCTTACTACATGCTCCAGCAATTGTGCTCTTAGGTACTTACTCAAATATAGTTGAAAACTTACATCTGCACAAAACCTGCACACAAATGTATAGTAACTTTATTCATAATTGCCTAAATGTCTTTCAATGGGAGTATAAAGTGGGTACATCTATATGATGGGATATTAATGATAAAAGAAATGAGTCACAAAAATATATGGAAAATTTAAAATGCATGCTGCTGGGTGAACATGAACCCTCTGAAAAAGATTATATGCTGTATAATTTCAACTATATGACATTCTGGAAAAAAAAAGAATACTAAAGATGCAGGGAAAAGATCAGTGGTTGCCAAGGTTCAGAGGATATGAATGGGTGGGTGAATTGTTGTGGAGAGCAGAGAGGACTTTGGGATAGTGAAACTTGTATAATATACTGTGATTGTAGGCACATGACATTACACATTTATTAAAACCCAAAGAACTGTACAGTACAAGTGTAAACCCTAATGTAAACTATGGACTTTATTTAATCATACTGTATTAATCATAAATTTTAACAAATGTAACACACCCATGTAGGATGTTAATAATAGGGAAAAGTAAAGGTGGGTAGGATGTGGGACCCCTATGTACTTTAAGCTAAATTTTTCCTTAAGCCTAAAATTCCTCTGAAATTAAAGCTTCTTAAAAAAAAAAAAAAAGACTGCCTTCTCTGTATTTCCACTCACCTACTCCTCTATTTTGTTTCTCTGGGTCAGGAATAGAAGCTATGAAGCATTCATCGGCAAATTGGTAACTGAAGAAGAATATTCAGGAACTGTAACTCTCCTAAAACAGGAAATGTCCTCTTTTTTGTGATGTTGGCCACCAGGACACCCTCCTGCACACATTACACTTTACTAGGAAAATGGTATCACCAAGGGACAATAAAACATGTGAGTATTTATGTATCTATTAACTGAAGTACTCTTCTTACCTGGAATTGGTTGAAATAATTGATCTCTATCATCCATGACCTCTGTTGTTCCATTTATAGCTGTTAAAACAATACATTGGTGGTTATGGCAAATAACATTCTCTAGGTAAAATTAATATATGTGTATGATCATGTGTTTACATGGGATGTAGGGCCTGTTCTCAGTATTCATGGTAGTTATATTCTGCACAATAAACAAATAGATATTTGAAGAAAGCTTACCTAACACATATAGTTTCTCCATGAGGCACATCACCACCTTCTTGCATTTGGGAAAATTAACCAGCTAGTTTAACACTACATGTGGGGGCCAGCTGAAGGGATGATTGAGTGTACTTGTCAGAACATTAAAAATATTTGAAGTTCTGCTGTTGTCCAAATGGCCTCTAAGATGCTGAAAGCATTGATTTTGAGTGATAAAGGTATCATGGTGAGTAGATGATACAGAGTATAAATACAGAATGTGCAAACAGTAAGGATTGACTGCATATGGTATATATTTTACATTTAGCATGCATCTGTCTGTGCAGAACATCACGCTCGTTCACTCATTCATACGTAAGTATATCGAAATGCATATACATTTACTTATACATGCATGCATAGGCTGATTTGTACAGTTTGCCTATATATTTATGATACATATTACTTTTGTGCATGCATATATCTTGATAGATACTTTGTATGTACATATACATCTCTGTTTATGTGCACCCTGTTGCAAACACAGAGAAGGACTATATTGTGCAAGAACCTTATTTAATAACTTTAATCATGAATTAAATTGAATTATTCAATTTTAACCTCTTCAGGAGAATAAAACTTTTGCATAGTAGAATAAGAAACTGTGTGACTTTATCACTTCTCTGGATTTGTATGGCATTTGCTATTACATATGGCAATAAAACATTGACTTATTAGTTCTTAGCACTGTAAGTAGTTAGATTGATCTTGGCTTTTGAATACAAAATTTTAGAAACCCAAAACATCTCCCCAGCTACTTTACTATATGAATTTACCTCTAGCTAACATTGTCCAAAACGCAGGCACATTTGGGGTCGTTTCTGTTTTTTAAAAAAGAGAATAACATAATAAGGTAATTTGGATTTAATAACATTTATTTGTTTAGTGATTTAGCATTCATATCGAATACTTCTACCATATGTCACACCCTGTGGTTTCAACTAAAGGTACAGGAGTGAACATGACCTGGGTTTTATGCTCAAGGTACCCATACCTAACTTTGGAGGCAGAGAAGAATAATTTTTGGTTTGTTGCAGGATAATTATACAAATAGACATGTGCTATACACAGGGCCTAATTCATCATCACCTGTGAGGTCTAGAAACACCCCCAAAGGCATGTGATGCCCCAGTTTTGATGTAAAGTTCTAGTAATCACTCCTCGAGCAAAGGAGGTGAGAGAAAGATCATTCTTGCTGTGAGCATGAGTTATGGCAGAGTGATGGTCAGGTTCAAATAAGCTCTTGGAGCTTCAGATACTCTGGAGCAAAGAATATGGTTGGGGGAATATGACCAGAGAGGAGACTAGGAAGTTTTCATAGTTGCCAGATCATTTCAGACTTGAATGCTTGATTAAGAACTTAGAAATATCCCCCCACCATTAGCAGAAATTATTAAGGATACTTAAGAATGGGGATACCCGGACAATCTACTTTTCATCTTTAAACACAACAAAAAAAGTAGATCAGGGTTTTTATTTTCTTTCTTTTTTTAGCATCATTAAAATCCAATCTATTTGAGAGTGATTATATTAGAATCATACTTGAATTTCCTGACCTGGAGAATTAGGGTTTCATGTAATGACAGGTAAGAATTCATTATCTTAAACAAGACCATTCATTCAAGTCCTTAGAGAAGAGCCATGAGTCCCTATGTCTTCACAAATATTTTACGAGGAACAATATTATTGGCAGAAAATTAAAAGTGATTTTAATTTTATAGCTTCCCACTCCCCTGAAAAACCTTAGGAAACACTCATCAGTGACTAACCAGAGATACATTCATTCCCCAAGAGAGTAGAAATTTTCATATTGTCAAAATTTAAATTACATTTAAAATATATTAAATATTTTAAAATCTATGTAAATATATTAATCCACATAAATATGTATGTACTTTATATATTTACAAATATATGTTCATGTATCTATATTTTATATGTTCATTCATACATATATGTTTATACATATAAAATATTGTATTAAAATTCATAAAAATCCTCAGTTTCTATCCATTGTCAGGTAGATCTAAATTTTGACTCAAGACATTCACCACTTAAAAGATTTTATAGTGACTTTAAAATGTAGTAGAATGAATTCTTTAAGCATGCTATTCCTTGACATAATGCTCAGAGTAGTGAAACTTAATAATTTTAAATTATATGACATGATCCAGGTATGAAGACAATATAGTAGTTTTAATACTTTTCACATATTTATGAAAGGGTGTTTCTTCAGTTTGTGGTCCAGTTGTGGTGACCGTTGTATCTAGGAAAAGGGATACAAAATTATCAGTATATGAAAATATTGAAGAAACATCTATGACTAAGCATATTTTGAAGCAAAAATGCAATACAGACAAGGAGATAGAAGAGATAGAAGAGAGAAAGTTTTCCTGAAAATAACAGAGGGGAAAGGACCAGGCAATAAGATTTGGGGATGATGGGCTGTCTGAGGTGAGGTTAACATGCCTATAACTTGAGAGAGAGGAAAAGCAGGGCACAGGAGGCCAGGCTCCTCTGGAGGTCTGGGAGATCACTGGCTAAGACACTTGGTTTCAAAGGTCAAAGCACAACCTTAAAATGACAGCTGCAGTCCAGAGCAGCCTTGTTGTTGTTCAATGTGATGACATGAAGAGGAGGCACCAAGAGTGTCCTTGTCAATTGGAAACAGTTTGGAATGTAAGGATTTGGGATTGCACATTGGATGGGCAGGCCTCATTCAGCACCCATCTCAGTCTATAATGTGTCTGTCTGGAGGTACATCACTGAGACAGGTGTGGGAACAATTGAGACTGGAGGCCCATTTCTCCCATGTAGTTGGCAATCCTAGTTAACTGCTGAATGCAGGAGCCAGTGCAAGTTCCATATGGAGTTCAGACCTTCCCAGGAGTGGGGAGTTGAACACAGAGGCAGAATGAATCCAGACTGAGCCCACAAACCCCTTTCAGGTATCTTGCTGACAAGGAAGGATGGAAAGGGAAACCCATTACTAGAGTTGATGCTGACTCAGGGGAGACTCAAATGAATGGTAAGGAACCTTTAAACTCTGCTAGACAATCATTTTCTTCTTCTTGGGAGAGGAGCATCTGGTGGCACCAGCTCATTCCCTTTCTCTGCCAGCATTGGGGACTCTACTTCAGCCAGTGATCTTCAAAGTTATCAGGGACATCTCCATTGCCTCCAGGGACTCTCCTCTAGGGCATCCCTCCCATGACAGAGTGTCTCCTCTGTCACAATCCCCTTGAACACTGCAGGAATTCCTTATCCCTATCCAACTTTTGTGACAGTCCCTTGGGGGCCTGGATTGTGGGGATACAATTTAGTTTTGGATAGCTTTTTCTTGTTGCCTGTGGCTCTCAATAGCACACATCCTGAGGGGTTGTGAGGTATCTGCACTACTTGAGAGATGGGTAACTGGTTCTTATCCCACATACTTCAAGATGTTTGCTATGCACAAGTCAGATTTCTATGAAGGAGTATCTAATTAATGTTTGCCTAAGATATGTCACTGTCTCACAAAGTTTGGAATTGCTCAGAAATATTCCATGATTGCCAATGCCTAATTATAATTGGGCATTTTTCAGTCTGGGTTTTCCCAGTGTTGAAACTGCCATAGTCAGGATCCTTCTTTACTCTCTGTTAAAGGCTTTTGAAGGTCTACAAAGTAGAAAGGAGCAAAAATGTAGGTTGAAGAAAGTTGCATCATTTCCTAGAATCCTCAATTCATTTATTTGATTTGCCTTTCCCTGCAGACCCAAAATATGAGGTTTAGAATTGTAAGAGCATCTCTGCCTTTTGAAATTTTCAGGGCAATGGACCTGAGCCTCAAGGGTACAGAGTGAAAGGAAGAATGAGAAAAACCTAAAGGATAATCCAGAAGTAGCTGGATCCCTGCATCATAGCATCTACTTTAGCGGGAGAATTTTAGTCTGTTTAGGAACAAAGACTTCTTTCGTACACACCAGTGTTTTGTGGTGCTTTAAAGGCCTTCACATGTTTAACAGTGCCTTTCAGGACTTACGGTGCTTTACGGCAAATCTCAGATCCGTTGTTGCTGTGACAGTTATTTCAGATTCTGTACCAGGTGGAACTCTTGTGGTGTACACATCTGAAAACAAAAAAAATCAAGTCTTCAGCAACCAGCTAAGTCACTTCTTGTTCATTTTTATTCATATAATTTTTTCCTTAAAACATATGCACTAATTCTAAACCACCAAAGAGGTTATAAGAAATATGAGTATTTTTTAATTTTCAAAATAAGAAAGTGGGGCAAGAGTCAAACTGAAAATTCATGAGGATTGCTCAGTCCCATAATATGTATATTAAAACTAGAATTTTATAGAGAAACATGGCCTCTGCACAAGAATGTCAGGCAAATTGATGAAGTGGCCCTTGTTTTTCTCTTTTTTTCTGAATATAAATGGTTTTTATTCTTCTATAAAAGATATAGTATGGCACATTGGTTTAAAAAACAACACCCATTGAATGCTGTCTCAAAGAAACACATCTCATATGCAAAGGCATTCACATACTTAAAGTGAATGGGGTAATGATATTTCATGCAAATGGAATCAGAGCAAGCAGAAGTAATCACTTTAATATCAGACAAAGCAGACTTCAAGCCAAAACTAGAAGTGACAAAGGAAATCATTGTATATCGGTGAACAGAATAGTCCACCAAGAAGATATAATATTGGTACACCTAATTTTATAAAACAAACATTTGATATAATGGTATTGGCAGGCTTCAACATAATAGTGGGGTTTTTCAATCTACCACTCTGAGACAGATCATTCCAGATAGAAAATCATAGACTTATCAAATTTAAAGTTTATGATAGATCTGTTGGACTTAACAGAAATACACAGAATACTTTACCCAACTACTTTATACAACAGCAGCTGTATATATTTTCATTTGAGCCACTCATGGTACATTCTCCAAAATTGACAACATATTAGTATATAAAGCAAGTCTTATCAAATACAAACTTTGAAATAATCTCTTGACTCTTCTCGGAATACAATGGAATAAGAAATCAATAGGAAAAAACTAGAAGTTATACAAATACATGGATATTCAACAATACACTTTTGATTGATAAGTAGCTCACTACATAAATTAAGGGGGAAATTTCAAAATTCTTAGAATCATACAAAAATGGGGACACAACATACCAGTGTCTCTGGGATGCAGTGAAGGCAGTTCTAAGAGGAAAGCTTACATCTTTGAGTGCTTCTATTTCAAAAAGAGAGATTTCAAATAAATAACCTAGTGACACATCTTAAAGTCTTAGAAAAACAAGAGGAAATCAATCTTAAAATCAATAGGAGAAATAACAAAGATTATGGCTGAAATTAATGAAATAGAAACTATAAGAACAATATAAAAGGTCAATGGAACAAAGAGTTGGTCCTTCAAAAAAATAAGCAAGTTTTATAAATCCCTAGCCAAGCTAACCAAAAGAGAGAGAAAGAGAAAAATCAAATTAATAAAATTATATGCCTTTTGAGTGCAGATTGCTTGCTGACCACTTATGACCACCTGCCAATTGCCTGTTTTCCCACCTTTAGCCTGCCCATTGCATGCAACCTACCCACCAAGTGCTCACCATTTACCCACAGACCACCCAAGGAGCACCTTTTGCCCATTGTGGCCTGGAAGTCCATTGTCAGGGTACCCACAGGTTTGGTCACATGCAGCTGCTGCCATCTTGGGACACAAGCCAGGGGCTGGGAGTCAAGGGCCAAGGGGCCTGCAGGTTTGCTACTGCCATTGGCACCATCTCAGGGTGCAGCTGCCTAAATCTGGAGACACTGGGAAGGCCCTGGAGGTCTATTGTTGGAGGACCTGCAGGTCTGGTTGCACCTGAGGTCTTCCTGCCAGGTGTGCTAGTGGCCACCATCTGGCTGCCTCTTTGCAGATTTGCTCTTTGTGTGAGCACTCTATGGTCTCTCTGCAAGTTGGAATGGCATTGAGATGTTGGGACTGCAGCAAGGCAGAGCCTGGGGAAGCCCTGGTCTATCAGATTGCATGTGGGTCTGTGTGGGCTAGTCTGGGCCTGGCAATCCTGTGGAAAGCTAGAGAATGGGGGCAGTTCCTTGGGAGGAGCACAGGTTGTCAAAACTAAAGAGAATGGGCTCTCTCCCTCCCAGTGAGTCCTGAAAAGCTCGGGGATGGAAGGGGCTGGCAACAATGGGTGGGAAGACTTGAAGAGGATGTGAGGGCATCTTGCCATCAGCTTGCCCAGCTAACCAGTTTGGCACCCAGCAGACTGGAGCTACCATCAAACTTCCACCTATTGGCAGAGAAAGGAAGCTGAGAAAAATTTTTGAAAACCAATGGAAGCAATCATTCAAATTTCCTTAGAGACTTATCATATTTCACCCCTCTCTCACACCTCTACCATCTTTGAATCCCAATATTTTTCATGCATCAATTTATTGAGGAATGGGATGTCTGAATAGTATACTACAGGGGTTTTTGTGTGTATTCTTATATTTTATATTATTACTGTTTTTTAATATGTATGTATTTATTCTCTTACTTATCTGTCTCCCTAGATTCTCTTTCTCACTTCTCTCATGTTAACAGCAAGCCTTTATTCATTCCTCCTTTGCTCTTACTAAAAATGTTCACCTCTATCTTCTCTCCTTCTCCTTCATAAAGATCACATCCTATGCTACTTCTATTCCCTCTTTGTCCATAATTTGAAATGGCAAACCCTTTTAGCAAACTTACTATTTATATCATAGATAATAATTGAACCTATCATTCCTGTTTATTGTGACAAAACTGTAGCTGCCTTAATAGGAGTTGTTTGGTTTAAGGTTGTATATTGTTTGCATTGGGTGCTGTTAATATTGATCTCCCCCTTAAAGGTGAGGTACTAGAAGACTTCAGGGACATTATAAGACTACAATGTAGAAACTATACTGCCTCAAACCCCTACCTAGATGGGAAGACACACAAACAACATGAAAACCAAGGGAACAAAGCATCTCAAATAAACCAAGATATTCCTACAATATAATCCATAGATAAAACAATAGAAGAAATGTCAGAGAAGGACTTTAGAAGGTATATAGTTAGACTGATCTTCAAAATAAAGGGTGGTATCCTAGTGAAAATATAGGAAGTGAAAATATCACATCAATAAAGAGGCAGAGACTATAATAAGGAATCAAGCAGAAATCCTTGAAATGAAGGAAACAATAAACCAAATTAAAAATTCAATGGAAAGTATCACCAACCGACTAGACCACTTGGAAGACAGAACCTCAGGCAATGAAGACAAAATACACATTCTTGAAAATAAAGTCGACTATATAGAGAAGATGGTAAGAATCCACAAAAAGAACTTCCAAGAAATATGAGATAACATAAAAAAATTTAAGACTTATCAGGCCTTTTCAACCAGCAAACTACTGAGGGAGGTCAAGCCCTGTGGTCCAGATCCACCCACACCAGCCTCTGTGGGTCCCAGGCACACAGTAGGCTTAGTCCACCCCTCCCCTGGCAGGGTAGACACTCATCAGAGCCTAGCCTCTGATAAAGGACCACCCTTTCCAACCAGCAGACCAGGAGGCCAAGCCCAGTGGCCCAGATCCACCCACACCAATTTGTGCAGAACCCAGATCCAGGATGCAGTAGCATTCACTGAGGGACAACAATAGGATCTGGAAGCCCAACATCAAGATGAGGTACAGACAATACCTCAATATTCTTATAGTGGTACTATAAGAATATAGGGAATAAACTGTAATATCTCAGATCCACACTTCAAGAAAGGAAGACACATAGACAATATAAAAAAACAAGGGAGGAAAGTTCCCCTACACAAACCAGGACACTAAAATAACAGAAGCCACGGACAGTGAAGTTGATGAAATGTCAGAATAGGAGTTCAGAAGGTTCATAATTAAAATGATCTCTGAATTAAAGAATGGCCTAAAAGAGCAAATACAGGCAAAAATTGATCACTCCAACGTGAGATAAGAGAGCAAATACGGGTAGCAAAAGATTACTTCAAGAGAGAGAGACTCTGAAAAAATAAAGTCGGAAATCCTTGTAATGAATCCTTGAAATAAATCAAAAATAAAAAAACTCAATAGAAAGTATAGCCAACAGACTAGATCACTTGGAATAAAGAACATCAGATAATGAAATAAAGTATACAACCTGGAAAATAAATTTGATCACACAGTGAAGATAGTTAGAAAACATGAACAGAACATCCAAGAATTATGGGACAGCATCAAAAGACCAAATCTAAGAGTTATTGGGATAAAGGAAGGCACAGAGGTGCAAACCAAAGGAATGAATAATCTCGTCAATGAGATAATATCAGAAAATTTCCCAAGCATGAAGAACAAATTGGAAAACCAAATACAAGAGGCTTACAGGACATCAAATGTACAAAATTACAACAGATCTACACCAAGGCACATTATAATGAAAATGCCTAGCATTCAGAATAAGGATAGAATCTTAAAAGTTGCAAGAGAGAGGAATCAGATCACATATCGGGGGAGATCAATTTGTATCTCAGCAGATTTTTCAACCCAGACCCTCAAAGCCAGGAGATTGTGGAACAACATATACCAAGCTCTGAAAGAAAATGGATGCCAACCAAGAACCTTATATAAAGCAAAACTAAAATTTATATTTGGTGATGAAATAAAAACCTTCTGTGATAAACAAAAGTTAAAAGAATTTACAACTAGAAAGCCTGCACTACAGAACATCCTCAGCAAAATATTCCAAGAAGAGGAAATGAAAAACAATGAGGAAAATCAGCAGGGGGGGGGGTATTACTAAGGAAAATTTACACTAAAGGAAAATCTAATCTGAGGAGAAAACAAGTCACGTTAAATACTAAAAATAAAAATGGCTTGGAATACAAATATCTCAATAATAACCCTGAATGTTAATGGCCTAAACTCACCAATCAAAAGACAGAGACTAGCAGATTGGATTTTTTAAAAACAGGACTCAATATGCTGCCTCTAAGAGACTCATCTCATAGAAAAAGACATCCACAAACTGAAGGTGAAGGATTGGGAAAAATCATTCCATTCACATGGACTGTGGAAGCAAGCAGGAGT